CGGCATTCTGTAATGATGACCTCGGAACGACTTTCCCATCCTCAGTGAAGGCTATGCTGTGAAGGGCTCCCAATTCTTCTTCGAAGTTTTCTTCGATCGTCCCATCTGACACCGGGGTCTCGGCGTATTCTGTCTGGCACTCGTGATTTTCCTCCACTGATTCAAGAGAAAGAGAGAAAAAAGGGAATCATTTCAGGCGATTGAGGAATAACAGCTCAAATAACAAACTTTTTGAAATGGTCTAGGTTATGAGAGGCGGGGTAATCAGTGCAATGCTGCGACTAATCCTGAAACCCGAACAAATTTCAAGATGCATAAATAATCGGGATTTTTCGCGGTCGAAATATTGCACGAAATCCTACATGGTACACTTTCTCGAGGAATTTTCTACCTTCCATTGGAAATTAATTTAAGAAAGGATGATGCATTCCTTCTGGTTCCGGATTTTAAATATAAGGTCAATTCCAAGCTAATTAGAGGTCAAGCCAAAGAAACTGGTCAGCAAGGTGCGTCTGAAGGCTAGTACGAGGTTCAGGAAAACTGACGGCCAATTCCAACGGAATGAACCACGACTTCCAGGATCGAAATCCTAGATCATACGAAGAATTCTTTCATTTTTTTAAAGCATCCGAGTGTGACGTAATTTGACCCACGAAAAATGCAATAAATCCGCAAATAAAAGACCAGTCACTTGTAATAGCTATGCTTGTGACAGAAACCCGATAGATTTCGCTGGAAACATCGATCACGTTTCCCGTCATATAGCAGAGATTGGATACATGACATGAACTCATTTTACGCTTGAAAAATATGACACAGTATAATCATTACAGATCGAATCAATAATCGAATGCGAAACGTCAACGGTTTTGGGCAGAGAAAAACGGAGTACGCCGAGAACAATAGGAACATTTTCAAAAAAAGATGAGGATCATTCAAATCAAAACTTGGTTGTAACGCCAAGAATGTGTTTCAAAAAAAAGTCCACCAAAGTATTTTGATTTATCAACTATATTATTGATTTATAGAAGAATGGAATTGAGAGTTTACAATTTACTTTGCTTCCAGTATTTACAGCATGAATATTATAAGCATTGTAAATTGATGCATTGTTCTTGATGGTGCAAAATCTCTAAATCATCAAGTAATGAATAGGCCGCGCCAAGTTTTCCACAGTATTTTCTCATTTTATCTTCTGGAAAAAATGTGGTCTACAGCTCTATACTGTACTACAGATCTACAGTGGATGTGATAAGAAAAAACAAATGCTTGAGTGAAGCATTCGTGACGTAGGGCCATCTCTTCTGTTAGTTGGAAAATCTACAAGTTCGGAGCACCGTACTGCACTGTACAGTACGTATAGTCCAGTACTCATTAGTCCAGGAGAGTACTCAGTCATTCCTATCGCGCGAAGCAGGTCCGATAGAGCCGTCGGCGTAAATTCAATTATTTAGACTTCAAAATCGACATGAGATTAAAATTCAAATCAAGCTCTCGAAGCAAACCAAAACGCGGGGTAAGGATGAAATCAAACAAAATTCGGAAATTTTCAAGTAATTACCTGGTATTAAAACAACCTCAGTGCTCCAAGAATACATGTTCGTTTTCGTGCCTCTATTTTCAATAGAAATTCTTACATACGACAGTTTTACGTTATTACTAAAGTAGCGTAATTTATGATTCTTCGAGAAAAATTAATAGGATAAAAAAAACCAAAATATTGCCAAGGTTACCGTGATCGGACTTTCACGCGAATTGTGCATCCACCGTCGGAAAATGATTTTTTCATGCGAAAGAAACGGTGCACTGACAACACAGAAAGTCTTCCAAATAAGTACCTTCCTGCCATTCCGCTGCCACGCAGAATGGCATCGAGACTCCACCACTAATCCCAACACATCCCACACTCATAATTTAGCATATATTGCTCCCTCAGAAAGCAACCAACTCACTGTTCATCATGATTGCTGGAAACACAACCGGACACACTGCGGCGTCCGACGTACAAGGCGAATGCACTCCCAAAAAACCGAGTGAAACGCGCTACGAAGGCTCAGGTTTGGGGCCGGGTCGACAGGAGAAAGAAGAAAAAGCCAACGCACGCAACTTATCGATTCGGTTCGCAGGGAGAAACACACCTGGATACAGGTATACCGAACTTCCGACAGTTCGACACTCGCGCGCGGGGCGATTTGTAAATATTTGAAGACTAAGGCCAACAGTTCTCCCTTGAAATTCGCAGTTGGATTCACACGCAAACAAAGCTTATCACGGCCAATTTCTACAGCGAAAATACTTAAAGCACAAGAAGAAAACCAGAAGCAAGTTTAGTTTGATTCGTCTGTCAATTCTGACGGATTTTTTCTTCATCGCTCCGATTTAATTCACGAAGAGGAGGGTTTCATGATTTCCCGTCATTTGAAGAGCAGTGAAGCACAAGTCTAAAGTTTTAAGTTCTACTGCATAGATGTCGCCCGAATCGTTCGCAGTTCTTCTCAGTGTAACTCAGGTTGGATAACAGGTGGACTCCACCAACATAAATAAACTTAAAAAAATATTACGGTATTCCGCACAACAAATTGTCTTTTAGATTCTCTCGCCATTTTGCACACATTTTCTACAACGGAATTCAAGGAACCCTTAAAATTGTTCGAGAGAATTTGGTTGTAGCAAGTCAACCTGCATTGGATTCAGCGGGTCAATCATCAACCTATCACACACACCACTTACAGAAAATTACTTCAATAAACCGCTGGTCGGTGAAGAACAACTGCTGCATATCTTTTGAATGAGTTACCAATAAAACAACTAACCAAATATAAAACCTCCCAAACTCAACGACACAAAAAAAAGACATACAGTATTTGTGAGTGCCTCCTGGTTCAACTAAATCACATTTCAGCAACGTTTTGATCAAGTCAGGTCCAGTCTGATTTGATCTTCGACGTCAACAAATTGAAAAAAAAAAAA